CGGCTGCTCCTGCCCGCTGAAGTACGTCGCTGAAGGTTGTGGGGCTGAGGGCCAGCCGGCTGCCTAACCTCCAGCACCAGTGTATTTTTCTTCAGGGACATATTGCTAAGGCTTTGGCAGTTATAAATAATGTCGGTACCCATCTGCTCCATTTTTGTGTTTTGCTTCACTTCTGAGATCTTAAAAAAAGCACTAGTTGTGCTAGGCCCAAAGCGATGCGGAGGAGCGAAGTGTACTTCAGTGGCGCAGGGGCCCCTGGGCCCTAGCTAGAGACCACTTTCGCAGGCAAATAAAAAGCCCTGTTGTGTTTAATTAGAAGATTGTCTCTCAGAGCCTGGCCGGGGGAACAGCTGCTGAGCCCTCCCTCAGGTGTGGTCTCAGGGTCGTTAGCTCCTCATTAGGCAGGGGCTTCCGGAAGGCTCTAAAAGCTGTGGCAGGTGCCTGGATGAGGAAGATGGGATGGGGTCTTAGAAACCTGAAAGTAGCTTCCTTGCTTCCCTGTGGGTAATCCTAGGGCATGCCTTGAAGAGGGAGCTCCCTGAGGGAGAGGTGAGTAAGACTGAGCCCTGAGGAGAGTCTGTGGGGGACTGATGAGTGACCTGGCATGTGAGAGAGAGCAGAAAAGGTAGTTTGAAGTGATTCTTGGATTTGTGGGGTAGAAATTTGAATAGGCTCCTTGCCTGAGGGGAGCAGATCTGAGTGGTCAAAGGCTTTTTCCCTCGTTGTCTGTAGGAGGACTCTCCATCTTTAGCTCCTTGATGCAGCTTGTGGTTGCAGTGGCTGTACTGAGAAATGCAGTCTGCTGGTGGCTTCTCTGCTCCTTAAGCTGATGTTTATAGGGCCCTAAATTCTATCATTGTGTTTATTCAGTCTAGTATAATCTGATTCAGTAGATGATGGTAATATCTACCTCTGGTGTTGCAGGTGTGGCAGCAGTCAAGAGCTTCAAAGAGAAATGGAGACTGGTCTTGGAGAGAGAAAAAACAGTGGTAGGGCAGAGAATGTCTACTGGGAAGACAGTCCCATGGACTGTAATTATTAGTCTGGTTCAGAGATGCGCAGAAAGAAAGTGGAAAAAAACTTATAAGGAGATGTGTGTTTCTTCAGTGTTGTTGGAGGCTGTGTGTACAGCCTTTGGTAATTACATGGTTGAACATACGGGGCTGAAGCTAAGAAGGCATCACCATTTGGTTTACCTGTGTTTAGCACTACTTAGCTTCATCTTTTATGTTGACAAGGCTGAATTCAGCTACTTTTAAGAACTGTCTGGCACTGTTTCTAGAGAAGACTCTTTTTTTTTACCATACAACATTTTCTTTTTGGTGGGCACTCAGGTAGGGAAAAAAGTTAGAGTGTGTGGAGGAGCACTTCTTTGCCCTGCAAGTCGGACTTAGAATTTTAGGAGTTAAGCAGAATCTGCAGGACTGATCTAAGCAGCATTTAAAATACCATAGCATATTATATGTGATTTATGTGTGTCTTTGTATTTTAAAGAAAAATAAATCTAAAGATCTGAGAAGGTGAGCTAGCTCAAACCAGTGGGGTGCCATTCGTATCTATGCCTGTAGGGATGAAGTTCACTAAGTGACACAGCCCAGACTTACCTGTCCTGGGACCTGAGCAGCTTGTTTGCAACTGAAGCCAGAATGTGAGCCAGCAGACTGACAGACAGTAGGAATGCTGGATGAACTTGGTGTATTGACTTGAGCCTAAGCTAAGGAGGCAGTTTAGAAGCACTGGTTGTATACTTTCTTCTCCCTTGCCAAAACATCCTTGTTTTATGTCTTACACAACCAAACCATGCAATAAATAATA